AGGTGCCTCGAAGGAAACAAAATTTAATAAATAGGGAATTTAGGGGCACCTGGGGTGGCTTAGTTGCTTAAGCATCTTACTCCTGATTTTGGCTCTGGTCATGATCTCCCAGTTCATGGGTTCAAGCCCCACAGAGGGATCTGTGCTGTCAGTACAGAATCTGTTTCAGGTCTGTCCTCTCTCTCAATCTCTCTCTCTCTCTCTCTCTGCTCCTCCCTCACTTGCTCTCGCTCTCTCTCTCAAAAATAAATACACATTTAAAAAACTAAAAATAGGGAATTTTATTGTCAATCAATACTCCTACAATTTTTTTTAATTGAAAATCCAAAAGCAAAAAAATGTGGTAACAACAGAGAAAAAAATCCAGAAACTGCATTAGTGACACTTCAAGAATGAAACCAAGGCATGCATACACACGCACACAAGCAACTACTATATGTCCATACAAAACATGTTATCTCTCATAGGTATCCCTTAAGGTAGGTGTCACTACCTCCTCCCTACAGATGTAGAAATTGAAATGTAAGAGTTCACAAAGTTTGTTTATAAGTGGCTCAGCCTACTTGCAAACTCTGGTCTGGCTCCAAAGACCATGACCTTTCTGTCACTTGTCTAATACATGTGTGAGGAGCAACACCTCACTGCCACCAGCCAGGCTTAGTAACCAGCACCTGTCCACCGCAGCCACTGATCACATGAACGTCTCATCATCTTCCATTCACCCTCTCACTTCATTTCCATGGGGTCTCTTTCCAGCACTCAGCACGCCGAGTTTATGCCCACTTCAGGGCCTCTGCATGTGTTCCTTCTACTTGAAATGTTCTTCCCCAGAGCTTCCCTACCAGCAGAGTCTCACATGTCACCTCCCTGACCACTCTATCTAACACCACCAGCCTCCCACACCCGCAACACACATGCTATCATGTTACTCCATTTTCTACAGCGCACTATCATTCCCTGAAATTGTTATTTGATTACTTATTTAGTGCCTATCTTCCTCACCATACTGTATAACCTCCATGAGAACAGAGATCTTGTCTGTTTTAAATGCTGCATCCTCAGAGTCTACACAAATTAGAACTGCTCGATTAATATAGTATACCAAAAATAAGGGGCACTTGGGTGGGTCAGTCAGTTAAGGGTTCAACTTTGGTTCAACTTAAGTAAAGTCATGATCTTACGGTAAGTGAGTTCAAGCCCCACATCGGGCTCTGTGCTGACAGCATGGAGCTGGCTTCTGATCCCCTCTCCTCCTCCCTCTCTGCCCCTCCCCCACTCATTCTCTCTCTCTCTCTCTCTCTCTCTCTCTCTCTTTCCCAAAAATAAACATTTTTTAAAAAAGATTTAAAATAAAATACAAACATACAGTTTATTAGGTTCAAAGCAAAACACTACCAGGAAAGAAGGAGGAAGTGGTTAATCTTTGCAGTAGGGGTAGGATGTAGAGAGGAGAGTTAGAAAAGTGTTCATAGAAAAAAATGTTTAAATTGATGCTTCCTGGAGCACCTGAGTGGCTCAGTTGGTTAAGCATGGGCTCTTGACTTCAGCTCAGGTCATGCTCTTGCAGTTTGTGAATTCGAGCCTTGTGTCAGGTTCTGTGCCGATGACAGTGCAGAGACTGCTCAGGATTCTCTCTCTCCCTCTTCCTGCCCCCCACCAACTCTCTCTCTCAAATTAAATAAATAAACTTTAAACAAAATAAGTAAGTTGAGACTTCCTGATTGCCTCTGGGGAAGGGAACCTAGTAGTTGTGAGACAAAGATGGGAAAGAAACCTGAATTTTGAACCCTCTGAATATATCTCCTATTCCAAAAATATTTAAAATAAAATAAAAATAATCTGAGTTTGACTCTAAGAGTTCATCTAACAAATGGCAAGAAAAAGCAGAAGGAACCACTAGCCAATAGGAAAAGAAAATAAATATTACGGGTTTTTTCTGACTTAACAAATAATCTGGAAATACCAATACTCATATTACCAATAACAATAATAATAGTTACTACTTATTGGAAGCATTTACTAGTGTCAGGCACCATTCACTTAATCCTTACTTAAATTCCAGGAAAACCTATGAGATTACAGGTTATCTCCGTTTCAGATGGCGAGAGTGAGGCACATGGTTACTGAGTTTACAGAGCCAATAAGTTTCTGAGCCATAATTCAAACCAGGTGGTCTAGAGACACCTGGGTGGCTCAGTTGGTTAAGCATCCAACTTCAGATGACTTACAGTTCAGGTCATGATCTCACAGTTCATGAGTTCAAGCCCCACATGGGGTTCTCTGCTGTCAGCACAGAACCTGCTTCAGTAATTTTGTCTCCCCCCAGCCCCGGGCCTCTCCCCTGATGATTCTCTCTCTCCCTCTAAGTAAGCTTTAAACAAACAAACAAACAAATGAGGTAGTCTGTCTCTAGTATCTAAGTACACAGGTTAAAGAAAAGTGTTAAGTTTGGTAAGGAATATATACTCAGTACAAAAGACAGACTCTGGTTTCAACTCTCCTACTAACCAGAGAACCTTAGACATTTAGTCACTTACCATTCCTGGGTTTGTTTCATTCGTAAAAGAATGCATGGAATAGCTCCAAAATTCAACAAAACATAATGTCAATAGCCAATTTGGGGAATAAGACAGGCATGTATAAGCCATGCAGAACATGTAATCAGCTAGCTAGTAAATGTGTACAGATGTGTTCAAATACATTCGTAATTAATTTTTAAAAATTTACTGTTGTGGTAAAGCACTTAGGTCCACTAAACAAACTTGAAAAATAATTTTGCGTCTGTCTGTCATGCAGCTGTTGTAGCAAAAAATGGTACCCGCATTTATTGCAATTGTGAACTAATAAAATCATTCACTTTTGCAGCACCTTCCTAAATTCATGTAACCATATAATAAATATTACAGACCCAGATAAGAACATGTTTAGCATTTCCCAATTTATTTAGGGATCAAGTTAACTCAGCAGCAGCTTTAACTTTTGTAACTAGAGTATAATTAATCATATAGTTTTTTTAAATAATGTACTGATAACACAACTGGAACTAGAAAATATCCATACAGAGTGAAAATAAGTGTTCTGTCATCTTTTAGGTATAATGCCAAATGTCCTTAAATACAATTAACAACTTATAGATGAACTTGAATGGGTCAAAAAGTTCACTTCTCCAAATCCATCCTGTGATAAAGGTGGGGAAAAAAACGAAAACTAACAAAAATATATATACAAAGCCCAATGAAGCAATCTGCCACATTACTTTAATTAGAATCTTTTGTTTTCACACTTGTCTCTCATTGTTTGCTCAACACTAAGTACGATGTAAAATTAAATCGTAAAATATTAATCCCATCTATTATGTATCTTTTTCAACCTTCTGAAGAAACGTGAAGTTTCTATTGGCTTGAAACACAACAGCTGAGTTCTTACCTTCTTACATACCTTGATAATACTTAAAACTATTCTAAAGGTAATCTTTTATTTATAGTAAAGGTAAGCAACAGCTAATAGTCATATAAGTAACACAAGCTCTAAACAATAAATTCCTTTTAAAATCTAAACGCTTGTTTTCAGATGAAATGATACACTAGAAAAGGCACTATTTACAATGTCAGTTTAAAATCATCTACAGTCTCCAGTGCACACAGAAAAGAGCAAAGGCATGTTGCCTCTCCTCTCTGGAAGAATGGCCCTGGGAAACAATTGAAGGCACCAAGGACACTGGCACAGAACCCACGAAACGCTCTCCCGGCCGGGCAGCAGTCCTCTCTTTCCGGGTCCTATTTAAGTTTCTGCTTGGAAACAAAGTAAAGGCTCCCCTCAAGTGTGAAATCAGCCAGTCGGCGCGACTTAGCCAATGCTGGGCCTGAATGAGTTGAAAGCGATCAAAAAGAGCTGTGTTCGACTTTTAACTTGGAAATGCAGTTCAAGTCACTTAGTCTCTTCCAAAGGGGGTAAGTACGGCATATCAAAAACAAAAACTCTTTCCCAAAGGGACGCTTGGCCTCCTAAGGTTTACTTTTCCCATAACCGGTATAAGTCGGAGCCCCATTGCACCACAGGATCGCTCCCTCTTTAGCAGGTATCGGCGTGCGATGTGCAAGAGCTTAAGCACGAATCAGTGAATGAACACACCTGGCCAAGGGGAAAAGAAACAAACGGGAGGACCGGGTGGGCGGAGGTCGTGAGTCTGACCGCAGAGCGCCGCAGAGGCCACGGGGGCCACTCCCGGGCCGACGCGTCCTGGCCCAAAGGTACTGCGGAGCGCGGCGGGACGGAGCGCGCGGGGGCAGGGGGAGGCCGGCCGAGGCGGGGAGTCAGGTCGGGTCGGCTCGGAGGTAAACAAAGAACGGAGCCGGGGCTGAGCCCAGCTCGCGCAGGCGCCGCCTCCGCCAGACCGATCGCCGGGCCAGGTCGGAAGCGCGGCCTCGGCCACTCACCAAGATGCGCTTGAAAAGGTTGCTCTCCTTGGGCGGCAGCTGCACGTTCGGCATCGCGGCCGGCGGGGAGACCGGGTGTCCGGGCGCTCCGTTCCGCGGGGGTAGACACCGAGCGGACCAATGCTGGGAGTCCGGCAGCGGGCGATGGTCACTTCATGGCCTGGAGTTGGGGCTGGGCAGGCCGGGCAGGCCGTTGGGCAGGGCTGGCAATGGGAAGGGAATGCGATCTGAGCTGGACAACCTCGACTCCGGCCCTGCGGACGGGCGAGCGGCTGCGGCTCCCGCGCGCGGCAAGATGGCAGCCGGAGCCCGGCCCCTCGAGCGGGGCGGCGTGCGCCTGCGCCGGGCGCCCGGGGGCCAGAGGCGACGGGGGCGGCGGGGCGGCCGGGACCGCGCTGTGTGGCGGGTTAGGTCGCTTCTGTCACCTGCACCTCGGCGCCCTTCGTAAGTTCCTGGTTGTACTATGCTCTGATTGCTGGGCTTGTGATCCGGGAAAATGTTAGTTATACCGAAGTCGGACTTTCTGATTTCTCTCCTCTCAGGAACTTAACACCCTGCTGGGCTCAAAGTCTTGATGGACGATGAACGTGTTTTCCGTATTTTCCGCTTCACTTAGACTTTGAGAGAAGCCTACTCTTTTCAGTGCAGGCCGAAGACGTTATTTACAACGTGTGGGAAGTCATTGGGTGGGCCTGGAAATGAACTCATGTGAAAGCACGTTTGAAGTGTCAGAAAAAAATACTGCCAGCAGTTTAGAACACCTAACGTTGTCAGTGAAAATTATGGTTAAGGGGCCACTGATTCTCGAAGTCTACCTACCCTTTCTCGGCAGAAGGTTCCCCTGCATACCAGCCATGTAATTTGACAGAAACGGGATTCAAACCCAGGATCTTCAACTCTGGGGCACTATCATACGTAAAGAGTAGCACAGTGATAGAAATGTGAGTACAGAAAGATACAGATATGCATCGATGACAAGCATAGTCATGCATACGGTGTAATATTTATGGAATACGTAAATATTAGATGCATAGACTTATACGTGTTCTGGATCTTAATGTGTGCATATTTGTGTGACTACAGAGTGACTGATGCATAATTGCGTTAAACGGGCTATAATCAAAGCTGGCTTGGGGCTTATTTGATTTTTCCTCTAGCCTGAGTTGTTTGGAGATGGGAGAAGTTATCACAGGAGTCTTTTAAAAGTTTTTTTTTTTTCCTTCTCTTTCTTTTTCTTGAAAGAGAGAGAAAGATAGAAGCAGGAGAAGGGCAAAGAGAGAGAGAGAGGAAGAATCTCAAGTAGGCTCCACCAGTGCAGAGCCCGATATGGGGCTTAATCTCATGAACTGTGAGATCCTGACCTGAGCCAAAATCAAGAGTCTGTCCCTTAATTGACTGAGCCCCCCAGGGCCCCCAGGAGTCTTTCAAAATAGGGAAAGAGGGGGCTTGACTGGCTCAGTCAGTAGAACATGCAACTATTCATCTCAGGGTGTGAGTTCCAGCCCCATGTTGGGTGTAGCGATTACTTAAAAATATATATATTTTAATAAAATGGGGAAGGGACTTATTAAAGGAGCAAGGTCCAGAAGGGCCTATGTGTTCTGGACAGACCCCAGGCTTCTCAAGCTGCTAGAGAGGAAGTGGGCAAGGAGGACTTCGAGGGAATTTGGCTGAGCTGCACCTGAACTGGAGGTAGTCTTCTAGACAGTGGAGGAGGGCAGAGGTGTTCACACCACCCTCATACCCAGCCACTTCCGTATTCCTTACCCACTATTTTCTCACTGTGCCTTTCCTAATTCCTGAAAATTCTTTGGCTCCCAATTTATCTACATTCTTAGGAGCAAAGGGTTAATCGTGGGAAGAGCTGAAGCTCCAGTACTCCAGTCGGACCATCCCTTGACTCTCACAGGACATGAACTTTTCTGGAATGCACCTCATTCAGTCAGCTCAAGCTACTCTACCCCACCTCAAGGCCGATTTCAAAATGACAAACTGAAAAAAGAAAAGAAAGAAGAGTGGAAAAGAGCATAGTGCCAGCCGTAAACATTTTGGAAGCAAGTAATGTTTATCTTTTATGGAAGTTTCCTGTGGGCCTAGTACAGCCTGACCCATTACAAATCAGAAACTGTCCCAATTCTCTGTGGTAGCTGCCAGTCTTCACCATTGGCTCTCCCACTCACCCCCCCCCCCCCGCCCATAAATCAGGCAGTCTAGTGCTGGTTCTTCATTTGCACTCTGCAGCTTCCTACCCACTGGCAGCCTCTCCCCCCACAACCTCTCCAGCTTCTCCCAGCAGCGCAAAGGAAACCTTTAATCCCAAACACCGAGAAGTGGGTAGTTATATACTCCTATTTAATATTTTCCTCATCTGCCGTTCACACACAGTAACATGCAATGCACACCTAGTATGGTTGTCGACACTAGGGTGGGAGTGAAGAGAGAGGCGCACACTTGAAAATGCCAATAGGGTTGTGGGTTGTTGTCATCGTAAGCCTTGGAGTGTGTAAAGGACATAACGCATGCACAGATCAGAAAGCCTGGATTAGCCAGTTGCTGTAATTTTTTAATGTCTATTTATTTTTGAGAGAGAGCGAGGGCGAGCAGGGGAGGGGCAGAGAGAAAGGGAGACAGAATTCAAAGTATACTCCGCCCTGGTCAGCACAGAGCCTGATGCGGGGCTCAAACTCATGAACCATGAAATCATGACCTAAGCCGAAATCAAACGTCTGACGCTCAACTGACTGAGCCACCCAGGCACCCCAGAGGCTGTAATTTTTTATTACTGACTTCCTGTTTAGTTTGGAGCAAATCTCATTTCCACCTTGTAACAGAAAATGAGGTTATAATAACATTACTGTAATCTTTTACGGCAGGGTTGTGTGAATCTAATGCTTTATCATTTCTAAGCCCACAGGAAAAAAAAAAAAAAACACCTGCATTGTAAATCTCAGTCCATTGTCTCTCCAGAAGAATGCTGAAGCCCTGTTGGGGGCCTCATGGGCGTCCACCGAAATGTTGCTTCCTGGGGCTTCAGGTAGGCAGGGTGTACTCCTTTAGAATTATGCACACAGTACAGTAAAAGCAACAATGTCTGTGAAGACCATTTTGCATATATGATATGGGCCAGTGATTCTCTTGCTAAGCTCAGTAGACCTAAGTAAAAAAGAATCTAGAAAAGGATGCTCTCCATCCTATATTCACAGCATATCTTACAGAACCAGCTGACAAGGTAAAATCAAGTAATTTGCTGCTCTTCCTAAAACCAGTTTGACCATGTAATTAAAGGCTGATGGGAAGAGAACTCATCAGGTTGCATAACACCTTACACCTCCGATTCCTAAATGTGTCTGCTCTTGTCTACCTTCCTTGCTCCTGTTTTAGAGGAAGCAAGAGTTCTTCATTCCTCCCTTGGAACTCTTGATCCATCTCCTTTTGCTTCTCCTGTACTTTTATTCATCAGTTGTTCTCTGTGCTGTTTGCATTTTCTCCCTCCTGACTTTCTAATGGGAGGAGACTGGTGATAACATTTGAACAGACCTAAAGAATGAGAGGCGAGTTAACAAGTAAAAAGCCTGGACCAAAAAAAAAAAAAAAAAAAAGCTGGGCCAGCATATTCTAGCCCAAGGGAACCACATGCAAGTGCCCTAATGAAGGGACAAGATGGGCATGGTCAGGGCATAAAAGGGACAGGTAAGAATTTCAGGTTCAAGTTGGTGACTAGAGGGTAGTATATGAGACAGAAAGTGGCCTATGGTTCAGTTGAAAATACAGGCCAGGCCAGGTTACACAGGGATGGCCAGCTCAGGCAGTGCGATTTGCTTTGCTTTGCTTTGCTTTGCTTTGCTTTGCTTTGCTTTGCTTTGCTTTGCTTTGCTTTGGATTGGTTTGATCCTAAGTTCATCAAGAAGCCATCTTTAAGAAGGAAAGTGGCAAGATCTGATTTATTTTTTAAAAGGTCACACTGGGGGCGCCTACCTGACTCAGTCTATAGAACATACAACTCTTGATCTCAGGGTTGTGAGTTCAAACCCCACATGATCATTGAGCCTACTTAAACATACACACACACACACACACACACACACACACACACACACTTAAAAGGTCACCCTGACTACCTATGAAAAATGGACATGAATGGGGTTTCTTCTGGGATAGTGGCAAATTCTATTTGTCCCTTTAGATTTGTCTTCTGCCTCCAACTGTATTCTGAAAACATTGTCTGAAATCTCAAAAATTAATTTGTTCAATACTTAATTATTGAGCACAATGTGACAGGCAGTCTTTTAGCATCTCCCCTCACGGAGCTTATGTGTTAAGGATCACCCACTGGCCAATCTCTAAAGATTATTTCAGTCCACACTGGACCACCCTATCCTCCTTGACTTTTCTGCCTTAGGGTACCACAGCCCTGCAAAATCCCAGGTTTTCTCCTCTTCCCAGTCATTCTCATCAACTCTTCTTCCTTCTAAATGTTGGTTGTCTAGACAATTCTGCTTTCTTTTCAACATCAGCAATAAAATGTGTCCGTCAGGCGGCACCTGGGTGGCTCATTTGGTTAAGTGTCTGACTTCAGCTCAGGTCATAATCTCACAGTTCGTGGGTTCAAGCCCCACATCAAGCTCTGTGCTGACAGCTCAGAGCCCAGAGGCTGCTTCGGATTCTGTATCTCCCTCCTCCTCTGCCCCTCTCCCTCTCATGCTCTGTCTCTCTCTCTCAAAAATAAATAATAAAAAAAAAAATTTAATGTGTCCATCAAGTACCTGCCACCACCAGCAAAACAGAATTAACAAATCCTCCTGCTCCCATAGCTTCCATTACTAGCACCAGGAAGATTTCAAATGCATCTCCAATTCCAAGCCTTCTTTTATTCCCACTTCTTTGTAAAACTGCTCCATCTACAGGTCTTTCAAGCATTTTCTACTTGGACATAAAATTAAAACTTACCTTCCCATCAAACCAGTCCAAATCCTGTCTCCTCTGTTTTTGTTAATGACAGCACTCTTGTAGTAAAAATTCTCGATCACCTTTGACCTCTTTATTATTCCCCACATCCAAGGTGCCTCGTCATTCAGATTTGGGACCTGTCACGTAGCTCCCTTTCCTCCCCTGCTTTCCATTCCCTCTCCACCTCACAACTGAATATTGTAAAAACCTTGTAACTGGTCCCCCACTTTCAGACTCTTCTCGTCATTTCATTTTGCACATTGCTTCTAGACACGTTGTTTCTGTCTATATCTCTAAACGGGTCTCTCCGTGTATCAAAACTTCCAATGGCTCCCTCATCGTCTAGGGCTCAGTCTATTCCCAGGTTTTCTTTCCTGGTGCCTGTACAATTACCTTATATAGCAGGGGAACCAGTAGCTATAACCGATCTGGTATTTTCTAAATTCCATACTCTTACTCAACCTGATCATTTTATCAGAGATTGTTTTTCAATGTGTGAATCTTTATTTTTTAAAATCCTTCATCTCAGATGTCATGACTGTCATAAAACCTTTCCAAGTCTTTCCAGTGGATCTGAGCTCTGTTTTCTATGAATTTACATAGCATTTTGTCCTACTCCTATGTCTTTGTCTTACTGTTTTATGTTTTTTTTGGGGTTTTTTTGTTTTTTTTTAATATTTTTATTTATTTCTAGGAGAGAGAGAGAGAGACAGTGTGAGCAGGGGAGGGCCAGAGAGAGAGGGAGACACAGACTGAAACAGGCTCCAGGCTCTGAGCTGGCAGTCAGCACANACAGACTGAAACAGGCTCCAGGCTCTGAGCTGGCAGTCAGCACAGAGCCCGACGCGGGGCTCGAACCCACGAACCGTGAGATCATGACCCAAGCGAAAGTCGGACGCTCAACTGACTAAGCCACCCAGGCGCCCCCTGTTTTATGTTTTATAAATTGTAAGTTGCCTGAAGGCAGTGGTTCTCAAACTTAGCTGCACTTTTG